TTCTCATCTTTGTCGCCATATTTATTACAACGTTTCGGCCGTTGTACGCTCCGGCCTTTTTCACGTGGTTGGAATGTCGAACTGAACCCTTTATTTCGTTCACTGGGGTAGACTGTTCTAGTTCCACGTGCCATGTTTAATGGATGTCAGTTATCAGTTATCTCCTGTTAATTCCCTCTCCAAGTTCTCCACTGCTTTAACCGGGTATTGAACTAAAGGACACATGGCACAGTGGATAAAGGCGTTGGTTAGATCCCGTGACAGGACCCAAAGAGTGTGAGTTCAATACCCGGTTAAGGCAATGGAGAACTTGAGGAGTGGAATTAACAGGAGATAACTGATAAGTGACATCCATTAAACATGTCACGTGGATTTAGAATAATCTACCCCAGTGAGCGAAATGAAGGGTTCGGTTCGAGATTCCAACCATCTGAAGAAGGCCGGAGCGTACAATGGTCGAAACGTTGTAATAAATATGGCGACAAAGATGACAACAATAGTCCGAATAATGTAAATAGTCTAACAGAGAGAAGTTTAATTTTGGAGGCGTTAAAATCAACAAGCCATCTTTTGCCTCAGTTAACGACGGACTTGAGATTGTTTTGGACCCCGGTTGCCATTTTGACCTTGTCAGACTGACAATCCTTACCTTCGAGGCCGGAGTAAATCACTGTGTCATCTGCGTAGATAGAAAATTGAGAGCTGATATTATCAGGAAGGTCATTAATGAAAATTAAAAACAAAGTTGGACCAAGGATGGACTTCAGGGGGACATTTGCGTTAGTATGAAAGGATCTAGACGAATGGCCGGCGAAAGTATGGAGTGTAATTCATCTGAACACTCACCATGTAAATTCGGCTAGAACAGCGAGAGGCTAGCGATGTTTCGTCTGTGAGAAAGGGGTTGCAGAGTGAAAGATAATTCATCGCCTACAAGGACGCGGAGACGCTTTTGGACTTTATTGAGAGTTGAAAATGAAAACTGAGCGGCTCCAGATCATATATGACAACAATACTCCATTTTCGGCCTGATCTTGTTCTTGTAAAATTTAGAGGATATCAGGAGGAGTCAGGTACTTGCTGGAGCGGTACATGGAACCGACTATTTTCTTAGCATCTTTAGTGATACAGCGTATGTACGAGTTCCACTTGAGGTCTGGATTATGTCCCAAGAGGCGCTCAAGGAACAGGACCTCTCTGAGGGAACATCTGCTCAACACGATTGTTAAAAATTCTGGGTCCGATCAGTGACGGCGCATGAGCTGTAGTCCTACCTGTACATCCTGGCCTACTATTAAAAGTGTTTTTTTTATGATGTCAACGAACACTCGTTTGACACTTTTGTAATGTCAACGGATACTCGTTGTCACTTTTGTAATGCTCGTTGTAGTAGAGACTTTGTAATCGCAGATACAACTATAGTAACGCCGTTGTACAACACTGGTGTCAGACGCCTCCGAATAGCACTCACACTAATAGTACTTGCTCGATAATATTCGCTCGACAAATAACTCGTATAGTGATCTGAATAGAGAAATAGTATAGTGAATAGAGTAGAGAATAGCGGTCCGAATAGTAATAGAGGACAGACTAGAAATGGCGATCGTTAGTCGTCAGCTATATATATGCGTTTCCTCTATGGTCACGTGTCTACTTAATTCAGTAATGGGATCGCCTGTGTTTGCTCACTGGCGATCTATGTTCAAACTCAAGTGTCGGCAGCAACATTTTATTCCTATATAACAGGTTTTTCGAAGGATGACGTAGCCATAGCGGAATTGGGAGTAACACTTTGATATTGAAGAACATCCTGGATCGGATACCATCTGAGCGGACCTGAATATTAGCCGATTTGTAGGTGCCCCAATTGCAAAGTTCTGCACAACTTTTATCAAAACCTGTCACTATACTGAGTGTATTGGCTGTGATGAGTGTGCCTCGTATACCCTTGTCAGACTGGGTGTCATGATGGTTATATTGGGATCCATATATTTTTACCCAGGCGTTGCTTTGGGGGCCTGCTGCATCCTCACACAATAATAAGAAATACAGTTCTTAGAGGCTGATTGTTAACCAAGGTTAGAGAGCCTAGACTACCCTACTATTTAATCCACAGTTGGATTGAGTGAACTCGGTTACCCGACCAGAAGGTATTTCTGAGTTCCCAGCTGCATTGTTATGCACCGCTTTCATTAAAACCTATTACCATAACACACAAATTTGGCTGTGATGCATGTGCATGGTATACCCTTATCAGACTGGGCGTCATGACAGGCAGGGCCGGCACATACTACCCCTAAATAAGGTGGGGGCTAATTGGGAGCTCCGGGCAGTGCTTTGTGACCCTCGTTATCTTATCAACATTTGCCTTTTTCCTACATCTTTATATGTTACAAATCAAACTAAGCACAATTGATTATTAAAGGATGAAAATGTTTCGGATTGACGTCATTCTGGATGGGGGTGGGGGGTCTTCTCTTTTGTCCAAATTTGCAAGAAAAAAAAAAGAAAGCACTTTTGATACGCATTAATAATAATGATTGATAGATAGATCAATAGATGTTATGTTCTTTCAAAATGTAAATGATCATGGCTCTCCACGCATTCTTTTACTTTTTAATGTCTGAATTGCCACAGCTTCTTGAGAAATATAGCGGACTGGCTTCTCTATGGTTTTTAATTCAGACTTGTCCTTCTCAAAGACTGGTGGTCAACCAATGCTAGGGAGCCCAGGCTACCCTACTATTTAATCTATAGTTGGGTTAAGTGCACTTGGTTACCCAACCTGAAGGTATTTCTGATCCCCCAGCTGCTGATCTTATCAAAGCCTCTTGCCAGATCACGTATATTTGGCTGTGATACATGTGCTTGATATACCCTTATCAGACTGGGTGTCATGAGGGGATAGAATGTATGTAGATATACAACGCGACTCTCGCTTAAGCGATCCCCCGCCCAACCGGCCAATGATCATTCAACGTTGCATTCCGATCCTCGATCTTCTCGGTGTTAATCGAAATCTGGAAAAGGGCGCGATGCACGTTCACAAAGTAGCACGATGAAAGAAAAAACGTCACGTCTCGAAATAAGAACGCGAAACGTTTCCCATATCATATTTAGGCGTTTCATTCAGGGTGTCTGATCGTCTGGGTGGGTAGGTAGGTGATACTTGGGACAACTTTTGCTATGTCAGCTCTTCCTCCTACCAACTTCTCGTCAGTCTTCTCATCCAGCCCGATGTGGTGGCTTGGCAATACGAAATGGAGGCTTCGGATTCGCTCGTCCGTCTACCATCAAGGGTGGACCAGAACTCTCTCCGATCCCAAGCATGACTGTTAATATAGACCAGAACTCGAATATAACCTATTTCAGGTTTTGTTGCCTATTGATTTCCGAAAATTCGAAATCCACGACATTACTTGCAATCACATTTTGGTTAAAGTGGAAGATCGAAAAGAAACCATTCCGTTGGTCTATCAAACAGAAACACTTGAGATCGAAACCGAGATGAAACCTTTCCTTTCTATGTGGGCGTCCATTTTTTTTTCTAATCATTTCACCCCAAGCAAAGCAATAAAGCCACTAGGACTCAAGAGTTTACTGAGTGTTAGAGAATATGAGAAAAACTATTATTAAGTAGGGAGGACAACAAAAGAACAATAATTAAGAAGACACACGATAATAATAGAGGAAGCACGGTGGAGTAATGGATAGCCGCTCGGATTGGGGAATCGGAGAGCCGAGTTCGAATTTCAGTCGAATCCATTACATTCACTTACGTGATAATAATCTTAGGAAAGGTATGGATCCTCTTCTTCTCCCTCCAGCATTGGGTAAATAGCAAGACAAACCGTGTTCTATAGCCTTGGATTGCAACTTGTCTACTGCAGAAAGAAATGGCGACCTACTGCAGGAAAAATATGCCTCGTCAGTTATATATCGAAAGATACAAGATCGCCTAAGCATGTGTCACGCATAGCACATAACTGAAGATAACAATTGACATTACATTTAAATTTTTGAAGGTCAAAGTTGACTGAGAAGTAAGAAGCCAGAAGAAAGTTCCACAAGCGAAGCAAGAAGCCAGAAGAAAGTTCCACAAGCGGGAAATACGATAGAAGAAACTGTTAGCATAGAACTTACATCTAGTCTTTTCAAATGTAAAAAGATGAGACCTTACCGCCAATCTAGTACTGTACTTTAAATAATAAAGTCTAGGTACCACAGAGGAAATTTCATGAGAACAATTACCATGAAAGTATTTATTGAAATGCTAAGCTACATTATCGTGGTGGGAAACGGACTGAAACCGAGATGCTAGCTCAGGACCAATGATATTGCAGATTCTTATTTAGATTTTATCAAGAATCTCTAAATATATGACAGGAGCTTCGGACCAGATGTGGAAGCAATATTCAAATCAAGGACGAATGGTAGACTTATAAATATCTAAGATAGATTCTGGCAAGAAAAGATTTCTAGCACAACGTAGTGAACCAATTTTCTTAGCTCCAGACTTGGTAATTAATTCAATATACTCTTTCCACTTCATGTCAGCCGAGAGAGGGCGCAGTGGGTCACTCTCCTGGGGGTTAGCATCAGCCATAGTATCACAATTAGAACTCGTGAATAATAAAGAGGTTTGCTTTCACTTTGTCTCTAGATAAAGCCACCAGTGTGAAAGCACGCCGTGTACAAATAATAATAATACGAATCGCACCTTTATTGTTTCAACTATTTTGTTCTAGAACTTTTACGACCAAGAACGGCCACCATTGAACCCACCGCTGACACCACCTCATCACTTTAAGACAACGAATAATCCTCCTGCACATCCCCTACTTTCCAAACGCCATCAATTGTTCTGAATTTGCCTTTTGTGACCGAGGATGTGGAGAACGGTAAGAAGTGTAGAGAATTGTGGCTCTGTTCGAGAAGACGCCACCAACGAAATCTAATTACAATGGTTGAGTAAGTAAAGTTCGCATTCTGCTTTTCAGATGCGTCCGCTTGTCTGCTTTCCCGCGCTTTTTGCCTTTCCTGCGCCAACCACACTCAATTTTCACATGCATCAATATCAACGCTGCTCCCAAAATTTTCTTTTCTTTTTTCCTTTTTTTTTGTTTCTTTTTCTTTCCTGTCTTCTTCTATTTCTATTCACTTTATTTCTTTTCTTTTTTTTTTGCGTTTTCTTTCTTTTATCATTTCCCAACTTTCCTTCTTACATTTATTCGCGTTTTCTTTTTACGTTTTCTTTCATGCTTCATTTCTTCATTATTTTTCTTTTTTTTTCATTCCTTAAAATAATTTATTCATTCTTACTTTCTCCCCTTTTTATTTTTTATATTTTCTTTCTTTCTTTCTTTCTTTCTTTCTTTCTTTCTTTCTTTCTTTCTTTCTTTCTTTCATTACTTCGCTGTTTTTCTTTCTTTCTTTCTCTTTACTTAATTGCCTATTTTCTTTCATTTTCCATAATTATTCTTCTTATTTTTCAATTTCTAGTCCCTAAATCTTTCTTTCTTTCATTACCCGACTTTTTAAAAATTCTCGTTCACTTTTATTTTCTCCTCTTTCTTTCTTTCTTTCTTTCTTTCTTTCTTTCTTTCTTTCTTTCTTTCTTTCTTTCTTACACCTTTATTACTTCAACATTCTTTCTTTCATTCATTTTTCCGTTTTTTTTTAAATTTCCACCGATTTCTTTCATTTTTCTTTCCTTCATTATTTTTCTTTCGTTTATTTTCTTTCTTTCTTTCTTTCTTTCTTTCTTTCTTTCTTTCTTTCTTTCTTAGCTTTGCTGTTCTTTCTTTCTTAGCTTTGCTGTTCTTTCTTTCTTTCTTTCTTTCTTTCTTTCTTTCTTTCTATACTTTTTACCTCATTCCCTATTTTCTTTCATTTTTCATAATTATTATTTCTTTTTCCTTTTCTTTCATTCTTGTCTATTTTTTCGTCTCTAAATATTTCTTTCTTTTATTTCCACTTTTTTTTTAATTCCCGTCCACTTTTTCTCATCTTTCTTTCTTTCTTTCTTTCTTTCTTTCTTTCTTTCTTTGTTATTCTGTCTTTCTTTCTTTTCAGTTTTCTTACACGTTTATATTCCTTCAGCATTATTTCATTCATTTATTTTTGCATTTTCTTACTTTACGCCAATTTCCTTCATTTTTACATTCATTACTTTTCTTTCGTTCTTTTTTCTTTCTTTTTCTTTCTTTCTTTCTTTCTTTCTTTCTATACTTTTTACCTCATTCCCTATTTTCTTTCATTTTTTTCATAATTATTATTTCTTTTCCATTCTTTCTTTCATTCTTGCTTATTTTTTCAATCTTTCGTTCCTAAATTATTCTTACTTTCTTTCTTCTTTTTAATTCCTGCCCACTTTTATTTCCTCTTCTTTCTTTCTTTCTTGTCAATTTTTTACACGTTTATTCCTTCAACATTCTTTCTTTCATTCATTTTTCCGTTTTTTTTAATTTCTACCGATTTCTATCATTCTTACATTCCGTCATTATTTTTCTTTCGTTTATTTTCTTTCTTTCTTTCTTTCTTTCTTTCTTTCTTTTTTGCATTTTTTTTTATAAACTTTTTCTTTGTTGTTCCTCTTCTTCCCGTTTCTTCTTCAAAATTTCTTCATTTCTTTACTACCACCTTTATTCATAGTTTGGCTCCTTGTAGACATTTTTGTCTCCTCTTTCACTTTTTTCTCTTTCTTTTTCCAAACCATTTGTTCTGTTCCTTCTTCTCCAACTCTTCTCTTCATTTTTCATTTTCTTTCTTTCTTCACAGTTTTTCACAGTTCTAAATTTACCTATAATTATATACACGATTCTAACTTTCATATTCCATAATTTTTAAGCTCCAGTGCAAGGTCCTGGCATTTTTTTTTCCCAGTTTCTCACTTTCTTTCATGTTCACTATATTTCCGATCAGACAAGTCCTTTATTTTTCTTTATTCCTGTTTATCTGAGACGGCTTTTCATGTTATGCGTAGAGTTGCTGGTTTAGATGTGAAAATCTCAGAGCAATTTGTCATTTTTTTTCCCAGGCAGTTCCTGGTTTAGACTGATGCTATTTGTCTCCTTGATCGAAACGAAATTGTTTTCACAGTTCCCAGTGTATGGCTGTTGTCACAATATCATGTCTTTTTTTTTTTTTTTTTTTTGTATTTTTCTCTCTCTGGAAAGTATGAAGCCATTTAAGATTAACAACAACAACAACAACAAAAACAACAAAAATATACCTAGGGCAATACCGCCTTGGTCCACTTCAAAGCACACACACACACTCATCCCAGCGTTCCTTTCACTATATAAAATAGTGTGTAAAATCCAATTTCTCGTCGCGTTATCCTTGATCATACCAACGGCATTTTCAACGACAATTTTAGCATTGGAAAAGCCAGACGTAGCAGGCAACCAATTCAAACCTGGGTGATGCCATGTTTTTGCAACTAAAGTCTGCACGACAGTTAAATAAGCTACCCTAAGCGCAGTTCTAAATTTGAGGATTTGAAATGGCTATAATGTAACCGTTAGTTCCCTGCTGACCACTTCTTTCTTTACATTTATCGGACTGTTATCCTCGTCTTCATTGCCATTTTCACAACGTCTCGGCCGTTATACGCTTCGTTCTTCTTCAGACGATTGGAATTTCGAACCTATATTTCGTCAAGATTGTTCAAGTGCCACGTGCCATGCCACTTCCGGATGTCTCAGTTATTTCCCTTTTCAACTCTGCAAGCTTTTGTTTCACACAAGGTCATATGGCTCAGTGGATAAGGACGTTGGTTAGATCCAGTGACTAGACCCAAAGAGTTTTGAGTTCAAAAACCAGGCCCCAGCAGTGGTGAACCAAAAACTGCCCCCGAAAGAAGTTCATCAGACTAAAGTAATGTCCTTAATTCAAAATTTAGCATACACATAACTACAGCGATTCCTCTCAGTGTATTATTATAGCCAACGTCCATGTTTATATCTATTCCTCCACTACACACACACACACACACACACACACACACACACACACATATATATATATATATATATATATATATATGCGTGTGTCTGTTTATGTGTGTGCATTGACCTACAAATCATTCGATGAATGTTATAATCCTTGTTTTTTGTTTTGTTTTGTTTTTTTTAATTATAAGCTGTGTAAGGTGTTTCTTTAATACGCAAGTAGTTTCGACTGTACATTCGGTCATCTTCAGGCATGGAAATTATTTTGTTTTCATCTCGGATGCTACCTGAATTTTACCAAAAACAAAGTCTACGTAGTATTGAGGAAAGTTCATCAGCACAATTACCATGAAAGTATTTATAGAAAAAGCGGTGATGGGAAAGTCACTGAAGCCGAGATGCCAGGTCAGGACCAATAACACAGCAGATTCTTCTGTAGATTTTATCAAGAACTTCTAAATACATAGCACAGGCATCGAACCTGATGTGGTGGCAATATTCAATGCATATACCAATAGTAGACTTATAAATGTATAAGATAGATTCTGGTGAGAAAAATTGTCATACACGACACAGTGAACCAACTTTCCTGGCAGCAGGCCTAGCAATGGATTCAATATAATCTTTCAACTTAATGTCATAATTAATATTCATCACTGTATTAAGTGCATTGACGAAGAAAGATGCGATGTAACTACATAGAAAAAATATTGTTTTTGTAGCTGAAAACAGGGAGACAACTTTACGGCGGTATGAAAGTGACTGAAGCCGAGACGCCAGATCAGGACCGATAACATTGCAGGTTATTCTTTGTATATTATCAAGAATCTCTAAATACATAGCAGAAGCACCAATCTAAACGTGACAGCAATATTCAATGAATTACTTATAAATATATAAGAGGGATTCTGGTGAGAAAAATTGTCTTACACGACACAGTGAACCCACTTTCCTAGCAGCAGTTCTAGCAATTGATTCAATATAATCTTTCCACTTCATGTCAGCTTTTTCTCGACTAAAAAACAAGAAAAAAGTTATCACGTGACAGCATTTAATTTCTAAGGAGCGTTGTAACATGTGTGGATGCGCGGTGGTGCAATGACACGGAATGAGAAATCTAGGATCCATGTTCGATATCCGGTCTAGTTCGTTACATTCACTTATACGCAAATACTCTTGGGAGAAGTATTAATCCATCCACCCCACCCCAGCTATAGGCAAATAGCAGGACAGACCGGACCCTATAGCACTGGTTGGCAACCAGTCTAGGAGAAGGAAAACTGAATAAAAACCAGCGTGGAGAGGTTTAAGCTCCGTCAGGCTAACTTGCCCAAGACACATCACTGATACTATAGCTGCAGTACGGTCTTGATGGGTAACAGGATCATGAAATAATTAACGGACTAATCTGTTTGACCTACTAAATAGGGAGTTCTATTCTGATTGCGAGCTCCATACTCGTGTCCTTGTGTCAAACTGAGCTCAGATTAGGAAGTAAAAACTGAGTATGCAAGGGTTCAAAAAGATTTAACGAGCAAGTCTGGATGACTATTAGTAATGAGGAGGGAGTTCTATTCTCACTTCGAGCTCTATACTCGTGGCCTTGTGTCAAACTAAGCGCAGATTAAGAAGTAAAAACTGGGCATGCAATGGTTCAGAAAGGGTTAACGAGCATGTCTGGATGGTCATTAGTAATTAGTAGGGTGTTCTATTCTTAATTCGAGCTCTATACTCGTGACCTTGTGTCAAACTAAGCTCAGTTTAGGAAGTAAAAACTGAGCATACAAGGTTATGAAAGGGTTAGCGAAAAAGTTTTGTTGATCATTACTACTGAGTAAGGAGTTCAAAACTCATTGGCTATCGTTTCCTTATGACAAACTTAGCTCAGCTTAATAAATAACAGCCCATAGCTATATTTGTATCATCACCCAAATTTTCCCCAAATTACTTTTGCAATTCACGAGGCATCTGGTTCTCGAGATTTAGAAAAACTGACCACAAATTATACATTGTTACCCAAAATCTGGAAGGACATCGTGCTAAAAACACTGGCGAAGTAATTGCATGTCATCATTGACTTTGTTTACTCGACCAGCCATACATCGAGATGATAACGCTTTTGCAAGTGTACAGATGTACTGGCGGTAAAAGAATAGAGAAGTGGTACAATGACATATAATTCTGCGGTTCGCACTTTAGCATTGGTTAACAAGCTCTCAACGCAGACAATTGCAATACAACAAGGCGCGCCTTTGTCTGGTAGTAAGTCATGAGTCATATTAGTCTGGGACATAAGTTCACTAACCACTAGTCTAGAGGGTGGCTTTTAACGAAATCAGTCTAATCAAATCAATCTATTCTACTTTTATGTATGTATCTATTATGGGAAAGCAGTTAGAACGTTAGTTTTCGAACCCTGAAAACAAGGTTTGAATCTCACCATGGTCCAGTATCTGTCTATATTCCTGAGATGAGGTATTATGTACACTATTTACATTATTCGGACTATTGTCCACATCTTTGTTGCCATATTTATTACAACGTTTCGGCCTTTCATTACCTGTCTATATTCCTGAGATGAGGTATTATGTACACTATTTACATTATTCGGATTATTGTCCTCATCTTTGTCGCCATATTTATTACAACGTTTCGGCCTTTCAGTATCTGTCTATATTTCTGAGATGAGGTATTATGTACACCATTTACATTATTCGGACTATTGTCCTCATCTTTGTTGCCATATTTATTACAACGTTTCGGCCTTTCATTACCTGTCTATATTTCTGAGATGAGGTATTATGTACACTATTTACATTATTCGGATTATTGTCCTCATCTTTGTCGCCATATTTATTACAACGTTTCGGCCTTTCAGTACCTGTCTATATTTCTGAGATGAGGTATTATGTACACTATTTACATTATTTGGATTATTGTCCTCATCTTTGTTGCCATATTTATTACAACGTTTCGGCCTTTCAGTACCTGTCTATATTTCTGAGATGAGGTATTATGTACACTATTTACATTATTCGGATTATTGTCCTCATCTTTGTTGCCATATTTATTACAACGTTTCGGCCTTTCATTACCTGTCTATATTCCTGAGATGAGGTATTATGTACACTATTTACATTATTCGGATTATTGTCCTCATCTTTTTTGCCATATTTATTACAACGTTTCGGCCCTTGTACGCTCCGGCCTTTTTCAGGTGGTTGGAATGTCGAACTGAACCCTTTATTTCGCTCACTGGGCACAGTGGATAAAGGCGTTGGTTAGATCCAGAGACAGGACCCAAAAAGTGTGAGTTCAATACCCAGTTAAGGCAGTGGAGAACTTGGAGAGAGGAATTAACAGGGGACAACTGATAACTGGCATCCATTAAATATGGCACGTGGAACTAGAACAGTCTACTCCAGTGAGCGAAATAAAGGGTTCAGTTCGACATTACAACCGCCTGAAGAAGGCCGAAACGTTGTAATAAATATGGCGGCAAAGATGTCAGGAAGGTGACTTCTTGATGTTATCGGTGGCGATCCCAGTGTGCGGCACCTTTGGAACGTGCGTGTAAACTCTACCACGAGTTGACCCAGGCCTTGTGAGTGAAATTGGGCAGACGGAACCCTTAGGAGCCGTCGATAGCTGTGCTAGAACAAAGTCACAAATCAATCTACCTCTGTCTATTCATTATCTATCTCAGTTTCTCCATTATCTATCTATCTATCTATCTATCTATCACAGTCTCCTCATATCTGTCTGTCTCGGTCTCTTCATATCTATCTATCTATCTATCTATCTATCTATCTATCTATCTATCTATCTATCTATCTATCTAAGTCTCCTCATATCTGTCTGTCTGTCTCGGTCTCTTCATATCTATCTATCTATCTATCTATCTATCTATCTATCTATCTATCTATCTATCTATCTCTGTCTCCTCATATCTGTCTGTCTCGGTCTCTTCATATGTATCTATCTATCTATCTATCTATCTATCTATCTATCTATCTATCTATCTATCTAAGTCTCCTCATATCTATCTGTCTGTCTCGGTCTCTTCATATCTATCTATCTATCTATCTATCTATCTATCTATCTATCTATCTATCTATGTTAGTCTGATCATTATCTATCTATCTATCTATCTATCTATCTATCTATCTATCTATCTATCTATTTATCTCAGTCTCCTCATATCTGTCTGTCTCGGTCTCTTCATATCTATCTATCTATCTATCTATCTATCTATCTATCTATCTATCTCATTCTCTTTATCTATATGCTTCAGTCTATCTATCTATCTATCTATCTATCTATCTATCTATCTATCTATCTATCTATCTATCTATCTATCTTTGATTTCCCCCCTGTATATGACTGACTATATATATATATATATATATATATATATATAAAACTTGGTGATTTGTTTCTAAATTAGTTGTAAATCAGAAGTCGTTCCCCAGATAATATCCCCTTAAATAATATCAATTGGGCGACATTTGAAAGTCCAGTTCTACTAAAGTTTGTATTGACTTTGCTTTAATATAGAATATGGTCATCAAAAGTAAAAAGACGGATCGAGTAGAAAAATATTGGTTGTTTAGCTGTTTTTGTTTAGCGGCATAATCAACACCCCTATGGGTTATTTAATGCCGAAATCTAAATATTTGGACGGAATTTTATTTATTTATTTTTTTTGACATAATCATTGTTTTAGTGATAGAAGTCTTACTAATTAATCTATAGCTGGAAGGAGAAGAGGTGGATCCATACCTTTCGCGTAAGTGAATATAACGAACCCACTGGAATTGGAACTCGGCTCTCCGATTAACAATTTCGAGTATCCACTACAGCACCTGCACATTCAAGTTTTCAGCAACTGGTATTCCTAAGCGGTCACCCATCCAGTAATTGACCTGGCTCAACGTTGCTTGATTTCCGTGGTCGAACAGGAACCGGTGTTTAAACGGGATGTGTCCGTAAGCCTGTAGAGAAATGTATGGGATATAATAGAGCAAAAAGTGAGGGATCTATTTATGACTTGTTTGTAAAGCTCAAGTGATCACCCATTTAATGTCCACCCTCTCTTGGTAGATTTGGCTGCAAGTCGTGAATTGGATGGCATTTTGATAAACCACCGCTCCGATGCTTTGGTTTGTTTTGTTTTACGGTATATCAACCTTAATGGGTTACTGGTAATATTTTCTTTTTCAAACATATATTGCTGGTAATTTTTTTTTTTCAAAAATATATAGCTGGTAATCATTTTTCTTCAAATATTTATTGCTGGTAATAATTATTTACAAAGTATTTCTGGTATTAAAACCTATTTTTACACTTTTTTGACCCCAGTTTGGGGGTGAACTATTTACTTATAGCTGGGACCCTAACAGGTGCTACCACCCCGGGTCAGGGTGGACTAGGGAACATCAGCAATTAAGAAGTGGTTCAACGCTCCTCAATACCTCCTGATCAGAGGCCTTGCTGTTGGGCATAGTTTATCGTCTTAACCAGAATACGAATGTAGTTTATCGCCATACCCAGAATGGCCAGCGTACTGACATTTTGTATTGACCCCCTTCTCTTTTAATATTAAATGTACCCACCAAAATCAGAAACATCAAAATTCAATATTCGAGTAGAGAAATGTATGGGATACAATAGAGCAAAAAGTGAGGGATCTATTTATGACTTTTATGTAAAGCATAAGTGATCTCCCACTTAATGACTATCAATCAAATGTTAATGACCTGGTTTAGTCTTGGGTATGACGATAAACTACATCCGGCAGCAAGGCCTTTGATCGGGAGATTGGAGGTTTTGAGGAGCGTGGAACCACTTCTTAATTGCTGTCGTTCTCAGGCCCACCCTGATCCGAGGTGATCACGTTAAGATCTTGTCCTGGGTACGTCCAACAAAAAGGCTTCTGATCGGGTGATTGGAGGTTTGGGGGAGCGTGGAACCACCTCTTAATTGGTGTTGTTCCCAAGTCCACACTGACCCGGGGTGGTAGCACCTGTTGGAGTCCCAACTATGGGCAAATAGTTAACCCTTCAAAAAAAAAAAAAAAAATAAAAATAAAAAAAAAAATAGCCCCATGAATGTATAAAATTACATTTCAATAATAAAAATACCAGCAATAAATTTCTGTATAATGAAATATTACCAACAATACATCAATCAATATGAAAAACTTAATTAATGACATTAATTCATATAATATCTTACAATTTCTTAAAACAAGCTGTATTCCCAAATATAAGCTACAACATAAAATACACATATCTCGCAATTAAATTCACATAAACATATATATATGCATAAAAGCTGAGTATTATCTACCATGTATTCAATTGTGAAAGCAGAATAACATATATCATATTTTTATTACTTCAAAGCTCCCAAGAAAATTAAGTTTCAGCATTAAATGATAAGGAGTTGAAATGCCGTTAAACAAATAAATAAATATATAGATGACCAGTTTCTTTTTTTCCATATATTATGCTCATCTGTGACGTGGGACCTTTATCCATTTGTGATGTCAGGAGCCTCCACGCCGAAAAATAAATCCAAAGGAGAAAAGAAAAATGGAAAAATTCCAAGATCTTAAACCGTACTAATATCGTCTACCTTCATTCAATGTCTGTGATTACAGGATTGCACCGTCCTCTATGGCATAATCTGAGTGTCGTTTGGACTCTTTCACAAGAATTTAAAAGAGGATCCTTTTTCGAGGTCTCAAGAGACAGTGCAGCGTTTAGCGGAGGAATTCGGAGATTAGCATCTCAGGAGTTTTGACGCTAGGTGGATGCGTGCAAGAAATGCAGAATAGAGAGAGAGAGAGAGAGAAGAGAGAGAGAATAGAGAGAGAGAGAGAAGAGAGAGAGAATAGAGAGAGAGAGAGAGAAGAGAGAGAGAATAGAGAGAGAGAAAGATACGGAGAGGAGAGTGTGTGGTGTCGATAGTAAGACTGTAGGACTGTCCACTGGGCTAGATGATCATAAATCAGCTCCCTGACCATCAATCTGTCTTTCTG